TTAACTTTTTAGTCAAGGTACTTATTTAACTGGTGAGTCTGGGTTTAATGGGTTTTTGTATTCATTGTTATTTATCTACTCTTCCACTAATGAAATTAATAACACAGTGTGCCAGATATATTCTTCACATGGCCCCAGCAACTATATTAAAGCCAGCAAGCTATCTCTAAATGTAACGGTGGGCAGAGTTTGGTCCTGGGTACTTCTGTGGCGACTGTGTTAAAATTACACTCCTTTCATTAAAAGGATCTCTTTTTTCTTCTCTCAACCATAGCGTAAGAGATCTGCTGGATCTGTCTTTATTTATATTACACTAACAGTGAAAATATAAAATGAGAATTCATAGCTTTCAATTTAAAATATTGTTGAGATTTTTACAAGACATCTTAAGCAGCTGAAATCAAACTCCCATCTTTTAAAATTCTTTTTATAAGGTTTTACTATGCATATGACTCTGTACCTTTTACTTAAACTGTGGCATTTTTTCCTCGTAGGGAAATATCAGAGGTTGCCGATGAGTTCGCTTTCTACATGATCTGTCAGAATATTACTGGGCTGCTACCTCTGGGACAAGATACTGCATGACCCTGAGCTAGTAAATCAATCTGTCATCCATCCCCCTTGCTTATTTGTTCCTTGATATGTTTGTACAGCACCTCCAACAATGGCATTCCACAATTCCCGGGGGCTGCATTACCCACCAGAAATATCAGTCCCCCTTTGCTCTGAACACTGCTGTTTTCCCACTGCAAGTGAAGTGATGCTGTGTGAAAGGAAACGGATTAGAGTCCTGTGGCACACCCTCCTCCGAGCCCTGGCATCGCAATTGCTGTCAAATTAGTTCTACTCATGCGACAAAGCCACTTAAGGTTTTTCTTTTACAAAACGGTACTGGATGTCTTTTTCTTTATACACAAATAACAAACATCTAACGACAAGAATAACTGAATAGATGAATAGAAGGCAAACGAGGAGTCTATTTCAGGGGACACCATCAAAGAGCTGGAGTCTTCACCTGCAATTTTCTTCAAGCTGCTAAGCAAACAAAAATACTCTCAGTCCTGAGAATGTTACTTAAATCTATCACTCTCTAAGTAGAGGATAATATACAAAAATCCAATAGTACACTATGTTTGTTCATCCAGAGAAAACTGCAATTGTATGCCCCTTGTACTAACTGTTCCCAGAAATGTTTTCGTATCATTTACTTTGTCGGTATATACCTGCGACTAGGGAAAGCGTAATGCGTTGCTACTTCTCTGTATAGTTTATGAGAATAAATACACCCAGAGCTTTTCTTGAAGCTAAAATCAAAAAAAAAGCTGTGATGAAAGTTATGGTGAAGTTTGTTTCTTTCAAAATACAATCAAACATAATCAACAAAAAAAACTACTTTATCCTCTTTCTCACTATTATTTTTGTATAATAACTGAAGTACATCGTTAATAACTTGATTTTGGTGCAAAAACTGTTATCTAACACATTTGTACAGTACTGAGCAAAAAAAAAAAAAATCTAGGTTAATAAAGTAACACATGAGAAAAACATTACTCCAAATAACCTACAACTGTGTGCACTTCTGGCCACTCCAGCTGTAGACAGGTATATAGAAAGGCACTGATGGCAACGCAGAAGATATGCGGTGGTCGCCATAGGAAGAGAGAGGAAATAGCCTAAAATTCTGCAGCTTAAAATGGACGTAACTGAAAAACATAGTATACAAGCTTGTGAAGTGATGAATAATATGGAGATCATAGAAGGAACCTGCACATTCATTCCTTCTAATAACCTCAATGGGAAGGCACCTGGGCAAATGGTCAGATACCATATATAACCCACAAAATGCACAGGAGAGCAGTCTATAACACACTTTTTTTCCAATAGTATTCTAAGCGTTACAGTAAACACAAAGGCCATCAAAACAACAAGAAAGCCGGAACATGATGGTATTATTAGAAGCATGTGTGACCAATCCAGGCTCAGTAAATCTGTCACAGAGCTCCTCTTGCTGTAATTTTGTGGCCAGCGCAGCTGGTGACTGTATGTAAGCAATATTTTTTAATTACATAAAACAATGCTTTGGAAAAATGACAAACTAAAACACAAACCTAAAATAGAAGCCTAAGCATTCACAGTTAAGTTCATATAAACCTTCGTGGGGGATTTCCATCTGGTAAGATTTAGATGACTGTCAGTTGTCTGTGCCTTTTCTGCTGCTGTTAACACATGGGCCAAAGGGACAGAGCACGCCAGACACCTTCACAACACGGCTGCTTATGCACGCTGACAGCACTGAGCGAGCGTGGTCAGAACAGCCATCTTACAAGCAGATGATGGTCTAACGAGGACAAGCTCTCCATATCCTTCTGCTCTTACCATTACAGATGCTTTTTCTGAGGCTGCTCACATGCACCAGATGCTGGATGTCAGTGGTTATTTCAGTTTCACCCAACGCCGTACCTGCCACGGGCCCACTGGTGGAAGATCTGCCTATGAAATACAGAACAGGGGAGTCTCGCCTTCCCAGGATTCTTGTAGGAGATTTTCCCCACAAACGTGGAAAGCACCACCTCCTGCTTACACGCAGCAATATTGGGTCTAGTATGCGATCTGGCTCTGGTGTGTACCCTCAAGTACCTTCCACTGGCTTCCATGGCATTGACCTCCTTACATCCGGTGAGAGCTAGGGTCCCCGCGCTCTCCAAGGCAAAGAGAGAATGATACAGAAATAATGTCTCTGCACCAGACTCAAGACTACAGGAGAGTAACGGTACAGAGCAATAGTTCCCCCTCTTGCCCTCTTGGGTAAAATGGTGGGTATAAATCTAGCTGCAAACAACTAAAACTATTCTTTCAAAATTTCTACTAACCTGTTAGGACTAAGATGGATAATATTCTCTTATAGTAGTGGTGTGTTTTCAACAGAACTGCACCCTCATCCTCTGGGTATCTGCACTATGGGATTACACAAAAGTGTTATGAAATTCTGTTATAATTTAACTGACTCTAGACATGGTAGATTCCAGCACAATAGAGGATTAAACTTCAGTTTGAGCTCTAAAAACAGTTCTTATCTTTGCAGTGGTTTATACAAAACCCTTGCAGCCAAACCCACCTGAGCCATCTGGGACAGCTGAAAGCAAAAGTTGGGATCCTTCCTAGCTTCACCTGTCTCTGAAATATTCTGGATAGATTTGGAAACTTTTCAGCAAACAGCACGCTTCAGCTGCTGAGAATCCCACCCAGGTGCTACATTATTGATCTGGAAGGAAAAAAATACTAAATCACATTGGAAACTTACCTCTAACGTCACAAAGGAAGGGTGGTATATACCTAATAGAGGGATTTTCCAGTTAAACCTGCCAAAGGCTGAAATGCAGAGCCAGTTTCTCTGTCAGCTTAGCTGTCACCTTATAGAAAACAGTCTCTCAGCCTTACCAGTGTACTGCTTAGATCTAACAGCAGAAAATCAGCAAGCTCAGGGGTTAAAGGCGTGCAAAAGGCCTTATATGCAACTCTTGCTTCTGCAAGAATTGTTCCTATACAACCCTATCATCCAAACGTTCATATCCCATGTGGCTAGTAATCAAGTTCTCCAGAGTAGAGAAGACTATTTCAGGAACTAGATCCAGTCACAAGTCGGTCCATATCAGCAAAGACACAAAATAAATCCTCAGCCAGCACAATGTGTCCAGCTGATGATTATTTTCCATCATAAATACATCAAAAAGAGGCTGAAGAAACAGCAGACGTGGCCCAATGACGTGGAAAGCACTGTAGCAATCTGGAGATAACGTTATTTGTTTGTTAGTAATCATATATGCATACATACTGTGTATGGGAGGCTACTCTGCGTGTGTAGGGAGGATCTCTGGTAAAAGCTGATCCAGCTCTTTAAAATACCTCCAATAGATGGAACACGTTGTGCATGCTAATTACGCACTTCTTGCTCTTTGCACAAAAGTTACAATTGTAAAGGAACCCTTAAACACTTTGGCCTCCCAAGAAGTTGTTGAACAGATGTGCACTGCTAGTTTGCCTGAGCGTGGAGACCTCTGCTGCATGGGGGGAAAAAGAAAAGAAAAGAAAAAAGCCCAACGCAGGCAGCAATACAGATTGACCAACTTTTTCTTACACGTCACACCTCTAACAGAAAGATCTGTCAAAGATTAACTCTTAACAGAGGAGCCCAAGACTTTCTTTGCACCTTCTAGCATAAGTGACAGCAACACCGCTCCCTGCTTTTGTCTGGAAGTCCCACAGTAGAAAAGAGGGTACAAGCACATAGGCACTGTGAAAGCTTGTGGCTGTGCTGCAGCTTTGCTATTTTCAGCAGGTGTTTCTGATGAATATTGTGCTGAACTTAAGTAATGGGTTTAGCATGTTCTTTCAGGATCACAGGCCAGCAGCTTTTCTCTGACAAACATGAGATATCAGCCTGCAATGTGATTGCCCCTTATTTCCATGGATATCTACTCTTGCTTCTATCAAGACAAACAGCTAAGCACGCCACCTGGATTGTGGATTAAAAGTGACTTTCCATAGATAAGGTCTCACTTGGGCTTGTGGAAGCCTGAAGCTATGTCCTATAAAGCCAAAAACAATTAATGTCTTTGTGGCAAGATCCACTGGCAACCATTGTAAACTACTTCATCCACAAATCCAAGCTCAGATTACTTGCGTGAATTTTAGATATGTCTTTTCCACTGACCTGTTGTGGCAGAACCTGTAAGTTCAGATGACAGGTTTTGTTGTATTTCTACACTGTAGTTAATGGTAGCTGTGTCACGTACTTATAATGGCAATGAGTCCTTAATATAGCAGTAGGTAAGCAAAGACCACAGGAAACAACTTGCACCAGGAGAGGGATATGCATGTCTCTGAGTCAGCCTGCTCACACATTATAACAAGCGGTCTTGAGCAGAACGCTCCAGGAAGTGTTACCTTTCTGCCTAAGCCTTTTGGCGTACCAGTTACCTATGTAACACTCCATAATTCTGCTTTTAAGAAACTGGCACTCTTCAGATGTAAACAGTATCTGCCTTTGTAAAGAATTACTTACCAAATGATGTGGTATCCCTTGTTTCACAACAAAAAAGTTGAGCAAACAGTGTTTACAGTTACTATAAATAATAGTCTGGGGGAGTGAAGACTTCTTTGCATGTTTTCAGAACTGTGGTTTTCTGTGATTTCATCTCCTTCAAGAAGCCTCTGATATCCCTGCTTCAGAGAAACAAATGACCCTCAAGCAAGTTCCATTTATATCTTATTGTCACTACCAGCAAAGAATCTAAGAGAGTCTACCCTCCTCTAAAGAAGGACTTTGAATGCAATATACCATTTTTCTGGCTGTATTCCATATTATCACTTGCAGGTTAAGGGAATGAAATCTCTGGTATAACTCTTAATAAAAGGCGTTAGAACATTTCATTCCAACTTGCACATTTCCACTTTAGAATTAAAGTCAGTCTTGTACAACATCAAGGTAGTTTCTGTGAACTAGACACCAAACGGTCAGCAAGCAGTGCCTGATCTAAAAATCTCTCCAAATCAGCAACTCCCTGCTCGCATCTCTTTCAGCCATGCTGTCAAAGATGGCATGGGAGTTACTAGTTTTGTCCTAATAAAAAGTTTCCTACTTCCATTTTAACACCATTCTGGAATATTCTTTAACCTGGATTTTTCCAACATTTCTCTGTTGCAGGTCACGCTTTGAAATCTTCCTAGCTTCTCTGAACATGGTTTGATGAAAACCTTCCTAGACCTTCCTCTTCTGCCCATAGATTCCAGTCATTCTCTGGGTTCTTTCCCTTATTTATATATTTCTTATAGCATTCAGTCACTTTTCAAGAGCAAGATTATTTTTAATGCAGACCTGCTTAGGCATCTAGCTTTCTGCTCAGCCATACAAGCAGTCACATCACCAAACTTCTTAAGCTACCTTTAGCACACAAAGTGATGTTTCAGCAAAATCCTGCAGTCGCCTCTGAGTGTTGGAGGGAGATGTAAAACAAGAATGTCTCAGAGTTAAAAAAAAAAAAAAAAAAAAAATTGAGAATTCACCGAGATAAGTGTTTGACAAGAAAGAATATAAACACAAATCTAGGGGGCTTTTTCCTTGCTTTGTCTTTTTTTGTTGTTAAAGAGGATTTAACCATGCTCCGAGACTGATGATAACAATCATGAGATGAGGAAGGATTTTGCACACATACCTCCGGCGTCTTCAAATCTAAAGAGAAGACAGCAAGTCGGTTCTACTGTTGTCTATGGATGGTACTTTCAACCTGTATTTCAAAGCACTCCAAAAAAAACCCCAAAACAACAACAAAAACGTTAAGGAGAAGAGCTGCATCCCTTACTGGTTCTCATCAATAGGACAGTCCAGAATTTAAAAAACACCAACAGTCTGCACTACCGAGTAATGTTTTCCAGCAACGCGGAGTTGGTATTTGTTATAATCCTCGGAGCAGCCTCAGCTAGAACCTGCAAGATGGGATCTCCTGTAGAAGGCCAGAGTTCAGTATCAGCTCAGACAAGAATTGCAGGCATTCTTCTAACCACATCGCCATGCGTTTTCTCCGGCAAATGCCTCCCTCCTACTGCCCTGCCTAGCTAGGACATCGTGACTCTCCCTTCTCTTTCTGTGCTCCAGCTTCCTAGCTTATTCAGGTGATCTCATGCTTTTCTTTTCCTCACCTGCTTTGCCTTCCTCCTTCCCTCTCTCCAGTTCTCTGCTTATTCCCATCTACATGCAACACGAGTTAAGAACATCTACCGGCAGCACCTTTGCAGAGGGCTTGCTGTACTGCAAAGCAGAGGGCAGAGCCAAGCAGCTTGGCCTAGCAGAGTGCTGCAAGGGCTCACAGTCCACTCAGTACAATGTTGCTTCTACACTGTGGCTTCACTGCTCTGGGACAGAGACAGAATAGATGGTTGCTTGCAAGGGGCTTGCTGTTGCATCACTCACTGCTGTAGCTGCAGGTTTGCAGGAGGTAGAATTCACGCAAAACTGCCAATCCTGCTAAGCTGTCACTGATTTCTCGTCACTTCCTTGACCGGTCAGGGGTCGTAAAGAACTGGCACCTCTTCCTTCTTGAACAGAAAGAGCAGAAAAGCCCGAACCAAGCTCAGTCAAAACCAAATTGCCAGATTAACTTTATTTACAAACATACAAACTTCATAATTAGCATTCTGAAAGCAGAAGGACCACAGGCCCCAAAGCCAGATCATCTCTTGTTTGATGAGTATTACAAGAACAACTGTTGCAAATGCTATGCATGCTCCTTCCTCTCTCTTTGATTAGGGATCACACCTGACAATAGGAATTCCTTGTAGCAAGTTCTGGATGATCTTGTATCCTCCAGCAAGAGAGAAGCTGTAGGCTGCACTGAAGATTCACTATGAATCCCCAAGGCTCTTGGCCCAGCACAGCACTGCTCTGTTTGAACAGTTCTCAGCTAAAGGCTGACAATTTGACAATTATCAGGAGTACCGATTTCTACCAGAGGCTTACATAGGATCTCCTCCAGATGGAAGGGGAGATATTTTACAAGGGACATATAAGAAGTGAGGAGTGAAAAAAAAAAAATCCCACTTTCACTCCAATATGACACCCCAAAACCAATTGTCTCAATATCCTATGCTAAAATGATTCTTCTACTTTGCTTTCCTACTTCTCCTTCCCGTTACCAATCCCTAAGGTGAATTCCTGTCAGGGGAGCCCCCCATTCAATTCCGAAACTGCCATGTTGCAGTGGGCTTGTACTCCTCCATATCAGCTGATGTTTTCTGAATTCTGAACTGAACTATAGCATTTAGAAGCTAAAATCATCCCTAGTTAAACAGATCACCTCACGTCACTGGCTTGAAGTCAGTTTTTCTTTGCCTCTGCTTCTGCAACAGGCCAGGAAACCTGGATGTGATATGGCTCTAGCTCTTCTGGAGTGACATAGTCCGGAGCATTGCCCATCAGGTCCCGTCCCCTGAAGGATTTGGGAAAAGCGATGACATCTCGGATACTTGGAGTGCCAATGATGAGAGAGATCAGCCTGTCAAGTCCTGGAAGCAGATAAAAATCAGTGAGCCACTTGAGTTATGGCCTTGAGTTATTCACTTTCAAAAAGAGTCAGGAAGATGGAAGTACATAGTTTTACTGGGCTTGAACATTAGAACAGAAGCAGATAAGGGAAAAAGTTAACCTCAACCAGTAAGAGAGAAAGACTTGCCTAGAGAGCAGCAATACCTAGACAAATAAAGTAGTTGAATGTTACAAGAAATTCTGCAGAACACCAAGGACTGCAAGATAGAGACAGTTTCTTTGCAGAGACAATGTAACAATGCAGGGCCAGTAAATGGCAGGAACATTGTCAGGGCTCTGCTGAACTGGTCAAGCAAAGCTCTTGGCTGAGAAGAGTTACAACAATGAGGAATGAGGAAGAATTCAGGAAGAGCAACAGCCTCTGCGTGACCTGATGGAGGGAAGTTACACAGAATGACAGAATGGCTGAGGTTGAAAGGGACCTCTGGAGATCATCTAGTCCAACCCCGTGCTCAAGCAGTCACCTAGAGCACATTGCCCAAGATCTTAAGAAAAAAAAAAAATCATATGTTAAAATGCTATTTGTTTTTTAATTAAAAAGAAAAAACACAAACTTGTAAGAGTCTAGGAGAAAAATAAGACGTTGCTGTAATGCTATACAACATTGTAACGACTTCAGAGGATGCCATTCCCCAACAGCTTAAACCAAACAAGGGTCAGCCCGGCTGTCTCCTCCCTCTCCCTCTGACTGTGGGGTTCCACCTCCTCCCTGTGTCGGCCCGGGTATTCATCGGGACTGTGTGGAGCCAGATTGGGGAACTAACCTGACAAAAAAAGCATTGTCCCTCTTTGGCAGGATTTGTTTACTGCCAGTTTAGCTCTCTTGATCAGTGAACGACACAAAAAAGGAAGGGGCTGCGGGTCTGTGAAGCAAAGGGTGAGACTGAGGCAGTGACCTAGCACATGAAACAAAGTACAATGCTGTCCCAGGCCTACGGGCATGCAATATAGGGATCCTGTTCTGGCTGCATAAGGAGGAGAATAAAGATGATCCAATCTTCGTGAACATGCTGTTTGCAGAATAGCAGATAAAGATTGTTCTTTGAGTCACCAACATCTGATTTGGTCCTTGCACAAGAGATAAACCACATTATTACCCTGGGGAGGGACCCCAAAACGTTCTGCACTGGGTGAAGAGAGCTCTGTTTCCTTCTGTAAAGCAGCTACAGATTGAAGCACTGTATAGGCCCACAAGGTCTCAGGAGGAGACCAGGCTCTTATTAACAAACCTGAGGCTTTTTGCTAAGGTCTAGTACATCAAAATAAAGTCATAAGACACCTGCAGTCTAAGAAGCTACGTAACACCTACCTAAAGCGATTCCTCCATGAGGAGGCGCTCCGAACTCCAAAGCATCAAGTAGATGGGAAAGCACCTCAGAGTCCTCCTGCAAAGTTACATAAGAAGCATCACTGACAAAACAACGCTTTTCCTGCTAGCACTGTAAGATGAAGGTACAACGAAGTCATCCGTCTCTCGGAGCAGGTTTCTTTATCTGAGTAGCACACCCATGTTTCTTACAGGATTTTAAGTGACTATTTAAATGAAATAGTCTTTTACATCTCCAAGAGTATGTGGACAACAGCTGTAAGTGTTACCTTCAGCACTTTCTCAAGCACAAAACGCTGTAGCTCTGCATTGTGAATTCGGATGGAGCCACCTCCAACTTCATTGCCATTTAGCACGAGGTCATAGTGCTGGCTACGGACCTGGAGAAAGAAATGAGCAAGCACCTTAGCAAGGCATGGCTGCATTTAACGCCAACCCGCACACAAAAAACAAAGCAGCGCTAGGAGCGAGAACATGGCATACAACAACACAGCTTTCTCTCAGCATTCACAGAAATTTGATAAGAGATTCAAAGCACTAAAGATGAGAAAGCTTTCTACTGAATTTCACTAGAGGTGACAAATTTCACCAAGTCTCCCCAAACAATGACCTCCTGGTGCCCTGTAGCATCCTAGGCCCAGCAGGGCTGCTGCTCTGAAATATTCAACAGGGCACAAATACCTAAGAAATCACGTGGTCATATCGCCCATTGCCTCTGTTGTAGTTTTCTCCTTACAATTTGAAGAGCAGCTTGCGCCCGGTCTGAAGTCAGGCAACGCACTAGGATCTGACCCCAAGTCCAAATGTAACAAGGTTCCAGTTCTGTACCAGTCCTACCAAAGGCATGGATCGCTGCTGAGAGTGCCTCAGGACGGCACGTAGCTTAACAAAATAGAGAACAGTATACATCCTTATGCAAAGTTGGTAAGAATGTGAAGCAACGTGGGAAGAGTCAGAATATAAAACTCCTCACTTTAAGCAACTGTTTTCTACAAGGCCCTATTGCTAGGAGCACATCTAGAGTAGCCTAGAAGCCATATCTTCCAAACAGATATAAACAATAAGCAGTGAATTCCATGAGACGATATGCCTTTTTACAGTAACAATAACTGCTATTTGACCACTTTTCCAAGACACGCAGCTGTAAAAGGGCCAGTATGGAGAGCATGAAGTTCAGTCACCTTTGTGGGATCAGAATAGAGGAGGCTGGTATCTGAAGGATGAGGGGCAGTGAAGGGATGATGAGCTGATTCCAGTTCCATGG